ATATATATATATATATACTTGCATAGTAGCATATCAGAAATTATTATTGAATAACAAAATTAGTTAGCTCCCTAACTATATTATTGAAGGTGAACTGTTGGAAGGTAGGTTGCACTATATCGTTTACTTGAACTATAATAACAGAGGTACTTAACTTAATGGAGTACCTGTATTTTGTTTACCTCTGACAATGTAGATCGATTTGATCATTTAGCAGGTTACATCAGAAATGTTTATGTCTTATGAATTTTCAATTCAAAATAAATGAGTTTGCAACCCTTGCTTGCATAGTGCAAAATTTTCGTATCGTTTAGATTCGAGAACTTGTGGTTGCATTTCAAAGAATGGTTTGAAAACGTCCGAATCATTTTTACCTAGTCTGAAGCACCTTTCATGTTGAGCATACCGTTTTAAGAAACTTCGGCAACAAGTAACTTTAGCTATGGCATTTTTATGCGTGTCCAGGCCAGAAACTATATAGAATATTTCCTAAATATTTTAGAAGTTTATGAATGAGCTGAGATGACTAAATAGAAAACATGTGAAAGGATAAATGGACGAAAACGATAACCTGTATATATCAGATCGAATGAGACGAATTTTCCAGGGACGTTTTCACCTAGCACATGTTGCAATGACAGAATAAAGGCGTGCTCATAAATTGTCACAAGTCAATGGCTAATGATAGAAAACTACATCATTATACAGATATTGTAATATGTCTCTAATTTACAGAAAACAATCTAGTGAACCATAATTTGTTTCATCATTATAAACTGCAAAAATGAAAGTATTGTTTCATAGTTGAAAATCAAACGGTAACAGGAAAGTTTATGAAAACCATAACGACTATAAGCTCGCAATTCTGACTTGAAACTGTGAATTTTTGTCTCATAATTCGGACTTTGAATTAGGAATTCAGACTTCAATTTCGATACTGTGGATTTAATTTCAAACTCGAAATTCTCATTCCAGGTTTTTAATAACGACTGTAAGCTCGCAATTCTGACTTGAAACTGAATTTTTATCTCAAAATTTGGACTTTGAATTCGGAATTCAGATGTCACTCTCAAAACTCCGATTTAAACTAGGAATTGTAACATTAAATTCGCAATTCCCATTTCAAACTTCGAATTTCGACTTCAAACTTGGGGTTTTGACCTTTACTTGAATTTGTATCCCAGAATTCTGAATTTGAAATCGGAATTCAGTTTCGAGACTGTGAATTTAAATCAAGAACTGTGCTTTTAAACTCGAAATTTTGATTCCAGGTTTTTAATAACCACTATAAGCTCGCAGTTCTGACTTGAATCTCTCTCAAAATTCATCATCTCTCAAAATTCGGACTTTTAACCTTCACCCAGATGGGTGTTTCAGAATTCTGAATTTGAGTTCGGAATTCAGACTTCAATTTCTATAGTATTGATAATTTTTCAAATTGTGGAACATTGTATACACAAAAAAAACAAAAAAAAGTTCTTCACGAAAAAATGTCTTTCAAAGAATATGTCCAGTGGCTGTTTGATGCAATAGAAAAATGAGTTTTCTATATGGTAGTAGTGGTAAGGTAAATAATACTTTGAATGTAACTCAATCCAAAATTTTCCCAATTCGCCTTTTTTGTACTATTTACTTTTTCTGTTTAGTGATTCTGGTATCATTGAAAATATACATTCATTCAGAGAATGTAATGACATACTTCAAACCATGAACTCTGGCATTTCTTGAAGCTGTCGACTATTTAATTAACGTCGACAAATAAGGACCCTACATTTTCGATTACAAAACGCTTATGCAACGCCCCTGGGCAATGCTGTTGACCGACCTTTACGCCTACGACTCTTCTCCACACATACAATGAGAGAAACTCGTAAATTTTTTCAGAAGCAATACCCCGATATTGAAATTTTCACCTAGCCATCTTCGAAAGTGAAGGTGATGATAAATAACACTTTGTTGTATCAATGTCCAATTAAAACGATGTGATAATGTTTTTTCATGTGATCACATCGTTTGTATTTCGTTTGATGTGATCTTTCACACGAAAGAAAAACCATTAAACTATTTCACGAAATCTATGCCGACAAAAAGAATTCATTTTGAATCATCTCAGACCTACATAAAACGACATCCGTGAATATTAAATGAGTCAAAAATATCAATGTTCGCTGATGACAACTCCATCTCAGTCACGGGAACAATGGTTGATAGTTTGATAACAAAGGTTAGACTGATTATATCTATCAGTTCTCAAGTTGTTATCGATGAAATGCTACCAAAAAAATAAGGGTAAATTAAATCATCTACAGGAACAATTTGTTCAGGCCAGTCTCAACTCCCTACACTCCCCTACTGACACCTATCAGAAACCAACTACTCCCCTGGCTAATACCACGAAGGACGTTGGATTATATCCGACAGGTGTCAGTGCAGGATTCTTCACTGAAGTTATTCCTGCATATGTTGTTGGCGATACAACTGCCGCAACAGATTCTCAATTATTGGAACACACTTGTAGACCGGTTTCGGGCTGTTTGGCCACTCATCAGTGCAAGGTAGAGGCTATCATCTACATAAAGTCGATGGTTTCCGATAATTGAAAATCGAATTCCTTTAGAGTATCATTCCTCGAACTAGGCTGAAGCGGACAACAAACAACAGATTTGTCATCGCCCCATCTGCCTGTGAACGAGGATATCATCGTATCGTATCGTATATCTTTATACGAGGAATTGGGAAAATTTCGACCTTATATGTAAAGGGTAAATTAGATGAATTAGTCTTTGCCATAATATCAATATATCACATGATGTTGAATTTTTGAGAACAATTCAAAAATAATCATTAGTCAGTGGATGTCAGTGGAGTCTGAAATAAACTGAGCAAAGTATTTTTTTCATGAAGCAAACGAATAAACAAGGTCTACTGGAAATTTATGGCCTATTCTCATATTTCGTATTTTTTCTCCCACATTTTCCATGATACCCATTCCAACAATCTTGTTCTGTGTTCTAGTTGGTACAGATCCGTTGCTGGATGTATGTCTTCCAAAGATATTCTCATATTCCCATAAAATATGACAAGCTTTTTCTGACCCTTTGTTGTATTTCCTGCAGCTTAGGCCTCCGTTGTACAGCTCTATTTTGTTCAGGTTATCTCTCAATAGAGGGTGTCCAATGAGTGGACTGTAATTGTTCTTTGATATTTTGCCTCTTTTCAGTTTATTACTGTATGATTTGGGGACCCTGGTGGAGAGTGGCCCATCACAAACGGTGACAATTGTTTTCAACAGTAACTTTCATCATTCAAATATATTGTTTCAATTTCACTCAAATTCATCTCTCTGTACGTACAATAAGTTGATCTACAAGCCTTTGCAGATGATCTTGTCATCTTGGCAAGGTGCACGTCGGGAAGGGTAGCTTGTAGCTTGTGATATCTTCCAAAGCACGTTGGAAGTTGTTCACAGTTGATGCCTGAGGGAGCAGATGTCTGTCAACCCCAGCAAAACTGTTATAATCCCCTTCATCAGGAGGAGAAAATTGGACGATCTAACGCCACTTTCCCTCAATGGTGAGGTCATTCCATTTGGAACGGAGGTGAAATATCTTGGCATTGTCCTTGATGAAAAACTCACCTGGAACGCTCACTTGGAAAAAGTTTTACACAAAGCCAGACTGTCTCTATGGACATGTCGAAGGATTCGTGGTAAGACTTGGGGTTTAGGTCCCAAACAAATCCATTGGATTTATGTGATGATTGTCAGTCTAATGACCACACCGT